CCCCAAAACCCCAAAACCCCAAAACCCCGAGCTAGAAGGGTAGAATTGAGATGAATGATGGATTAATTGTAATTGGAGTAATTAACAGAGCTTGTTATCACTCTTGAACGTCTTATTCTGGTTTGGGATGCTGATTTTAAGAGGCTTTTGGAGCTCACTCAAGTATTTCTCTATATAATTATAGTGTCTTAGAAAGCCTTGACCTTACCAATAGTTTCCGTAATAGGGTGATTACAAGAGTAATCTGATTTCAGAGATAGAAATGTTAGAGAGTCTAGTGTGGATATTGACTCAAGAATAGAATACCCATAATCTTTGTCCATAAATGTTGCATAGAGATTACAAAGAGTTTTATTTTCTTCGAGCATTTCACAGAGGTATTCTGCACATTCGTTATTCTGAAAAGTGAAATTGATTCTTAGTTCAGTAAGTCTCTTTGAACACATAACATCAAGAATAGCTTTGAAATCATCTAAATCCTGTGCTCGAGGAATGTTATAAACTAAAAGTATAGGGCAAGTATTATCCAAAGCTTTAATTTCTTTCTTGAAATCTTCGAAGTTGAATTTCATGGACCCAAGGATATACTCGATTTGTCTGTGATTACTTGGAAACACTCTCTTGGATAGCGGCTCATTATAATCATATTTAGCAGGCCCTTCATGGCTCATCCCCTAATTGTAATGATGATATGAGTACCTTTCCCTTATAATAATGATTGACAGCAATTCCTTTGAGTTTCGTGGACTCTCCAAGAGAAAGTGGCGCTCTAAGTCTGATTCAAGCACCCTGAGATGTTTCTAGATTATTAAAAGTCAATCTTACTCTGTTGAGTTTGATCTATTTCTACTCTAAAGTTCTCCATGGAGATGGACTAACACATTAAGTAGGAACTAACCTCAATACTGTAAATTTCAATTTGGCCTTCACTAATATTGTAATCCTTCCCATCACAATGAAGTTTGAGATCTTCTCAATGGACTACAATGTCTTGGCCGATTGAGAAAGATGCCTGACTCAAGTAAAGCTCGAGGTTTTTAAATCAGATATCTTTCCTTATAAAATTTCTTCTGCTATATTGGACCATTTAAACATTGTAAGAAATGGGCAAAAGGCTAGTTAATTTAAGGTGGACTTTACCTTGCACTAGTCATTCAAAACCTAGAATATACGGTAAAGCTTACTTGTTAAGTTGGCTGAAGAGCTCACTCTTTAGCACCATTTCTAAATCATCTAAATCCATGTCTACACTTGAAATTGTGAGATCGTCACAGCTTGGAATGAGTTTAGCAAATTCATCGAACACTTCATAGCTCTCTATAATCTTGAATAAATTTCTTTGGCGAATGTGAATTTCTCTAATGCGGGCCAGTCTCTGAAGGAACTCTTTGCTGTCAATCAACTCTTGCACAGTTACATCTATGCGAATAACTCTCGAAGGGTACAGTATTCATTATTGATCCATTTAAGCTGGTCGACACTTCAATCATGAAGCCGGGTGAGTCTAAACAATGACACTTGGATGTACTCATGATCATTTCATTCTCCGAATCTTTGCACTATAGGAACTGTTAGCAATTCTTTACCTTTGCTCATATTCAGATCTGGATTGGACCCATAAAATGATGGTTGTGAGCAATACTTGATTGGCTCGCCTATTGCAGATTATCAAGAAAGAATACCAATAGCTTGCGTGTTAAAAAACTTCTATAAGGCTTAACATTAATTTTTACTTTGTACATGCAGTTGAAGGATATTATCTCCAGATCTATTAGGATATTCTTACAAAGTACCGATGCCTTTCTCTTCAAGAAGAGTGACTAACTTGTTGAATTCTGGTATCTGGAAGTGATAAATAGCTAGTAAGAGAGAAATAAAAAATAGGGATATTAGCAGGCTTACCCAGACATTCATATCTATTCTAAATAATGAGCATGATGACTTACACAAGCAATCCTAGGAACTTCTTGCAAAGTGTTTGTTCTTCTTGTGAATCTATTGAGGCTGCCTCTTCAATGAGGTTTATCAATATTTGAATGCACTCTGGGGAAGAGCATTTTAGACTCCATTTGTAAAGCAAATATCTAGAATTCTAAGGAGCCTTACCTGTAGTCAGAAGTGATTGGACGTAGATCGTAGGTCTGAAGGTCTTTACTCAACGACTTAGAAGTAAGCTGGGCAGTTTTGAAAATTACTGCTAGGATTATTTGGAGATTGGATCAGAAGAGATCCTTGGTTCTATAAAGGAATATGGTTGGATAAGCTGATTAGGAGAATATGAATTAGTATAGAGTTTAATTTGGCCAAAAAAGTGTATAATTAGATACTTGTGGGATAAGGATGACATTAATCTGTGACATTCTTCTGGTTGGCCATAGAAAGGAAAGATATGACTGCAATAAGTCAGGTTTTGGATCAGATCTTGGTGATTAGCCATAATTATATTTATATTTATACAATTTCGCTATCTTTTAAAGGGGTTTTGGGGTTTTGGGGTTTTGGGGTTTTGGGG